CTTCTCCTCCTCCTCCTCCTCCTCCTCCTCCTCCTCCTCCTCCTCCTCCTCCTCCTCCTAGGCGGCTCCTCGGCGCGGCCCGCGCGCCGCGCGGCGGCCCGCAATGGAGGAAAGCCCCCAGCGCCAGGCAAAGGCGCGATGAGCCTGAGGTTGCACCGCATGCTGCAGGCCGAGCAGTGGAGTGGGCCCTGCGTCTTTCCCCCTCGCGACGTGCTTCGCGGAGGCGGCGGCGACGAAGGGAGGCCCCCCAAGCCCAGCCGCAGCCGGCGGCGCGCCGACCGCAGGCTGAAACTCGCCACCTGCAGGCAAGCTGTCTGGGACCTCTACACCCTCACTCCACCCTGGTGGGGGTCGCCTTGGGAGGTACATACGGAGGACGGGCAGTGGAGGCCGCCAGAGTGGATAGAGCCCAACGTGAGCCCGCTAGCTACTCTTGACACAAATCTGAGAACTAGCTTCGCCCTGGGGCACCCTTCCTTGTCGCCCCTCGTCGCCACAGCTGGACAGGGGCAGCGTCACGAGAGGGCGACCAGTTCGTGCGAGAAGGACGGGCAGTGGCTGCCTGCAGTGGAAGCAACCAGCTCGTGTGAGAAAGACGGGCAGTGGCAGCTGCAGGAAAGCGTTGACTGTACACGCGTGAACGACGGGCAGTGGCAGGTGCGTGAAGAAGGCGGCGAAGCGGGGCACACACGTGATCAGCCACAACTCGGACAGTGGCAGCGTCAAGAAAGAGCGACCAGCTCGGGCGAGAAGGGCGAGCAATGGCTGCTACGAGAGGCTGTCGGTGCTTGCGAGAAGGGAAGGCAGTGGCAGCTTACAGCAGATGCAACCAGTTCGTGCGAGAAGGACGGGCAGTGGCGGCTACGAGAGGCTGCTGGTACGTGCGAGAAGGGCTGGCAGTGGCAGCCTACAGCGGATGCAACCAGTTCGTGCGAGAAGGGCGGACAGTGGCTTATACGAGAGGCTGTCGGTGCGTGCGAGAAGGGCTGGCAGTGGCGGCCTACAGCGGATGCAACCAGTGCGTGCGAGAAGGCAGGGCAGTGGATGCTACGAGAGGCTGTCGGGGCGTGCGAGAAGGGCGGGCAGTGGAAGCCTACAGCGGACGCAACCAGTTCGTGCGAGAAGGACGGGCAGTGGCAGCTCTGGGACGGCAGTGGCGGTGCTCGCGAGAAGGGCGGGCAGTGGCAGCCGGCAGCGGACGCAACCAGTTCGTGCGAGAAGGACGGGCAGTGGCAGCTCGGGGACGGCAGTGGCTGTGCGCGCGAGAAAGACGGGCGGTGGCAGGTGCGAGAAGAAGCGGGCGGTGAAGCGGAGCCCCCCCCGTGATCAGCTACAATTCGGAAATCAGCGCGGCACAAGCATGGCTATGTGGAAATCCCGTGCTGAAATCGCCAAGGTGTGGCTGGCGGGCGGAGGCAAAACGATAAAGCCCGACATCATCAGCTACAGCGCTGGGAACAGCGCTTGCGAGAAGCTGCAGCGGAAGACGAAGGCGAGAAATTATACCAACGACATCAGCTACAGCATAGAAAGCGGTGCAGAGACCGTCACCTGCAGCGCGAGGGAGCAGAGCAGAGCGGCTTCGCACCACGAGAAGTGGCTGGCCAAGCGGTTCGGGCGAAAGGCGAGGCTGGAGCCCAATTCCTACCTAGCTAGCTACTCCGACGTGGGGGCGAAGACCAGAGTCGTCAGGGCACTACCAACACTCGACGAGTGGATATACGGCCCTGGCGGGTGATGCTGGCGTGGACGCGGGAGTACGGCGTGTGCACGACCAGCTGAGGGAGCGCCCGAGCACGGCCGCCCCATACCCTGCATGGGAGCCCCTTAAGAATGGGGGCATACCTGGGGGAGGGGCACAGCGCCGAGGTCGGGCCCAGACTTGCACCCGCAAGAGGCCGAAATCCCTGAAAATCTCCTCCTCCTCCTCCTCCTCCTCCTCCTCCTCCTCCCCCTCCTCCCCCTCCTCCCCCCTCCCCTCCCTCCTCCTCCTCCTCCTCCTCCTCCTCCTCCTCCTCCTCCTCCTCCTCCCACCGAACCAACGAAGGCAAAGCAACATGAACATACACTTAAGTCGGGTCTGTCCCTCTACAGGAGGAATATTCGAAAAAATGCTCCGGGGACGATTTGTTTGACTATGTTGAACATTGTTTGAATATTTGTTGGGAGTAATTTCAATTTGTCGCCCAAAATCCCCCTGTACGGGGGACACGGCCGAATTAGACATACACGTGCGGAGGTCCGCGCGGATTTTCCGGATCGGCGGCGGCCTTCCCGCTGCGGCGCTTCCAGCACCGCCCCCTGCGCGCTCGGCGCGCCGGGGAGGGGGGTCCAGCGCCGATCCAAGAAACCTGGGCGTGCCTCCTGACGTTAAACTGTTGTGTCGGCCCTCGGGTGCTTATTCTGTGTGACCTGTGCTCTTCTCAGTCTTAGCATGCATCTTATCCGTCGTCTCCAGCACCTTGCCATCATTATTATCCGTATCCCTGTGTTTTTGTTCCCGCATGGATTTTGCTGCTCCTGTCTGTGTCATCATCATCGTGATCATTGATGTTCGCATTGCTCGTCTCCTCCGTGCTCTTCTTCTTTAGCGAAGGATCGACGGGTGCCTCAGTGAGGACAACTACCTCCAGCCCGCGGGCGGCGCCCAGTTGTTGGCCTCGGTGCCGCCCGAGGCGGGCGCGTGCGTGCTGTTCTTCCAGCCGGGGCTGCTGCACGAGGGGGAGGAGCCCGCGCCCGGAGCCGGGGGGCGCCCCGAGAGGCCCCGAGGAGGCCTCAGGCTGGCCCGAGGTCGCCTCAGCGTGGCTTCGCGTGAGCGGCGAAGAACAACGGCTTCGACTACGCCGACATTCGCGCGTGGGTTGCCCACGTAAGGTCGCGCGTGAGCGCCCTCGCTACCACTGTGGCGTGCCGCGCTGGAGGCCCGCGCAAGCCGCGGCGTAAGGTCGCTGTGCCATCTCGCGCAAGACGCGTTTCTTGCCGTCGCTCGCATGGCCTCAGGGCGACCAATGATGGCCTGAGGACAGCCCAAGCAGCCCCCAAGACCACCCTGGATGGTTCCAAGAGACTCCTACGATGGGGGGGTGCGGACTGCCCAGAGATCCGACACTCCGAAGCGGCCGGTTTTTGGCAGTTTTCGGCCTCCAGGGGACCCTCGTCGGGCCTCGGGACCGCCCGCAAAGTGTGCAGGACGAATCTCGGGCCGGGCGAAAGGGGGGGATTGGGAAAGGGGGGGTTACGAAATCTGCTGCATGCAGCTGGTTTCGGCCTCACCGAGGGGCCCATTCCTCGATACATAGCCGCCTCCGGCGCCGGGAGGCGCCGGGAAAATCAGCTACGTGAGCTGATTCTCAAACCCCCCCTTTGCTATCCCCCCCTTTCGCCCGACCCGAGAATCGCCAGCCCTGGGGAAGTGGTCCAGGCCTCAGGGGCCCACGTCGTCAGACACATCGGAGCGGCTGGAGGCTTGGCGTGCGTGTGCGGGGGAGGGGCGGGCATCGAGCACCTCCGCCCTGCGGCCGCCCGCGCGCCTGCCTCCCCGCCCTCTGCTTCCTTTTTTGTCCACCGTTGCCTTAACGTTTAGCTTAGCTTAGCTTTAGCTTAGCTGTGGCTTAGCTTTAGCTTAGCTTTAGCTTAGCTTTAGCTTAGCGTTACTGTTACTACTAATGCTGCTTTCCTAGGGTTCCAACTCCTAGGTAGGGTCGCACTGGGATAATTTCCACCGTTGCCCTCCCTCGCGTCCCCCCTCGCGACTGCCTCCTCGCGAGTGGTGCTGCGCGGTCCGAGATGGTTCGGCCCAGCATTCCCGCGCCGGGTGAGCCGGCCAGGCCCGCGCGTTGGGCTCTCTGCCCGATTTGGTTTCCACCGCGCCGCTGCGCACGTGGCCGCAACGGCAAGAAGTGCCGATGCGAAGGCCGGGGTGAGGACTATCCGCAGAGGGTCTTTCATGCTGCCCTCCCTTCTTTTCAAAGCTCTCGGCTGGCAATACTCGTCCTCCTTTCTCGTCTCTCCCCTCCGCGCCCTCCTCCCCCCCGTTCCTCGCTCTCGGAACCCTAGGAAGCCTTTTAGGAACTCCCAGAAACCCCAGCAGGGGAGACGGTAGCCCGCGCGACCAATGATTAGCTTCCATTCTAAAGGAGGGGGTTTATAAAAAAGACCCTTCGCGGTTGGTGAGGTGAGGGGGTGGGAAGGCAAGGGCGCCCTCGAGGGCGCGAAGTTATTCGCGCTTCGCTTCCCCTCCTCCTCCTCCTTTTCCTCTTCCTCCTCCTTTTCCTCCTCCTCCTCCTCCTCCTCCTGTGGAGGGGGGCGGATGAGGCGGAGGAGGAGCACCTTCCTGCCCCATCTCGTTGAATCGGGAGAGCATTCCTTTCTCGCTGCGCGAGGCGCCTCCCTCGAAGCAGGAGCGCGCCCCCCCCCCCCCCCTTTATATGGGCCCGCAGTTCGGATGGGTGTTCCGTTTCGGAGGCAGCCGCGCTCCGTCCCGCGAGCTGGAGGCATGCGGCAAGACGATGTTGAGGGTTATGATGTTCCAACCTACTCTAGCCTTGATCGACAGAAAGAATTTCGAACGCCAGAAAAAAAGTACCGAAACTCGAGGGTTTTGACGCGTCGGGCCCTGGGAGACACTCGTCCGACACTGTTTCGACATTCTTTCGGCACTTTTCTGGGTGCTCGGAATTACTTCTGGGACGTGGTCCTTAAGTACGATGGGAGCAGCATAAACTGAGGGTTCACGGGAGTGTTCAGGGACGGTCCAGCTCTGAGAAAGGAAGGGCCCTCGATCCGCGTAGCCGTTGCACAGTCTGACACGTTTTGGCGATCGGGCTCGAGGAGGAAGGCTCGGGCGAGAGGGCCGCATTGTGGGATCGTGCTGGCCCCCACCGTCGATGCAAATGCTGGATGCTCCAAGGGCGCCCTCGAGGGCGCGGTTCGGCTCCGATTCCTCCTCACCCTCCTCTTCTCTCCAGGGAGGCGGCGCGAGAGCGCGAGGTTATTCGCGCTTCTCGCTGCGCGCAGCGCGAAGCGCGAAGCTGGGAGCCCGTGGTGCTCTTGAGGCGAGTCTGCGCGGCGCCAGGGCGAGAGCCGCATTGCTGAAGACGTCTGGACGGCGTGGCGCGGTGGTCGGGCGAGAGTTGAGTCGGGCCTGTCCCCCTACAGGGGGATTTTCGACGAAACATAAAACATACCCCAAAAATAGGAAAACATCCAAAAATGGTCTGGGAACTATTTTTGAGTATTCTTTTACCTGTTTGGGGTATTTTTGGAGTATTTCTTATTGCTCGTCGAAAATCCCCCTGTAGGGGGACAGGCCCGACTTAAGGCGAGAGCCACATGTGGAAAGCCAGTGATTCTCCAACAGTGTATCATTGCTGCAATGTTTGAGCATCGGGGTTGGGAAAAGTTGGGGGTGGACAGGCCTCCTACCCTGACACGTCGATGAAGGAATCGGCCGTTTTCGGCTCGCGAGAGGGCGTCGCGGCCGTCGTTTTTGCGGGTCCTGGTCCGCCGGTTTCGGTCCCAGGCCGTTTTCACTAAGGAGAGGTTTACTCAAGGGAGGTTTGTCCACCGCCGAGTGTAGTTGCTGCAATGTTTGAGCTTCGGGGCTGGGAACAGCGTCAGGACGTCACAGGCGACACGCCCGGCCCCTGAGTGATTGCGGGCACGCTTGGTGGTGCGACGGGGAGGAGTTGTTCGCAGGGACGAGGGATGGAGGCCCTTGAGGAGGAGAATGAGGCGGGAGCAGGAGTGATAAAAGGGCAAGAGGCAGGAGGAGAAAGGAGTATGACGCTCCAGGAGAAGGACGTTGGGGGGGAGGCGAAAGTGGACGGACGGGTTGGAGGGCGGAGGGCGAGGAGGGGAAGGAGTTGGCGCGGAGGAGTGATGATGATGATGATGATGATGACGATGATGATGATGATGATGATGATGATGATGATGAGGAGGAGGAGGAGGAGAATGATGATGTTGATGATGCTGATGATGCTGATGATGGCGATGATGATGGTGATGATGATGACGATGCTGATGATGATGCAGATGATGATGATGCTGTTTCTGATGATGATGATGTTGATGAGGATGTTGGTGGTGCTGGTGGTTATGATGGTGATGATGATCATGATGTTGATGATGCTGATGAGGATGGTGATGGTGTTGATGGTGATAATGAGGATGCTGATGCGGCTCATGATGATGATGATGATGATGATGATGATGATGATGATGATGATGATGATGGTGATGGTGGCGATCACGAGGATGATGCTGCTGCTGATGATGATGATGATTCTGATGATTATGATGATTCTGATGATTATGATGATTATGATGTTTATGATCATGGTATTGAGAATGAGGATGATGAGGATGAGGATGGGGAAGAGGATGAGGAGGAGGGTGAGGAGGAGGAAGAGGAGGAGGAGGAGGAAGAGGGGAAGAGGGGAAGAGGAGAAAGGGGGATGAGGAGGAGGGGACGTGGAGAAAGCCAGAGCAGGAGGAGAAGGAGGAGGAGGAGAGCAAGGCGGAGGAGGTGGAGGAGGTGGAGGAAGGACTTGCGCGCGGGCGAGAAGCACATCCTGCGTACGGACGTCATGTTCCGGCGCGACGCGGACACCAAGCCATGGCTGGCGCCAGAGCAGCTGGAGGCGCGTGGCCCGGACTCGCCTGCGGCCCTCCCCAGACACCCCTGTCGCCTTCGTCGTCGAGAGTCTGCCCCCCCCCCGCATTTTTGTACCCACCTCCCTCGCCCCCGATTTCAACGTTCAACGCGGTGCCGATTTTGTCCCGACCATCGCCGGTCGTGCGATCAACAGTGAAATGGGGTGGGCAGAGGGCTGGCCGAGCACACCAATTGCTCTTCGAACCGGGTTGTAGGTCGTGGGACGCTTGGGAGATTTTTGTTCGGCAGTGCGGTCTGTTCGCGTCACTTCGACCCGCGGCGACCTCGCCGCCGGCGCTCAATGTTGAACGCCACCGGCGACCCAGAATCGGCCGATGTTGAACGATGTCACGTTTCGGAAACGGCCGATCGTTCAACGCCGGTGTCGACACGGCGCGAAACCCCCGTAGCAAGAGCGCACCCCTGAGTTTGGACACCCGACATGGGCACGGAAACAATGGGCACAATGCCCAACAGCAAATGTTGTCCCGAACCAACAGCGGCCGCTGTTGGGCAGGCGACCTTCTGTCTCACATGGACATAGGCCGCGGCGGCGTGGACAGCGAGTCCTGTTCCAAATGAACCAGATCCGCTGCTGGGCATCGTACCCATTCTTTCCGTGCCCATCTCGTTCGTGCAGACTGAGGACGTCTCGGTGTCGATCGTCGTCGCCACCGTCGCCCCCGATCTCGGCGCCCCGCGGGGCCCGTCTGATTACGGGATGGCCCCATACGCTCCCAAGCTTGAGCGCAGCCCGCGGGGAAGAGCGGGTCCCCTGGGGCAGGGTCGAGCGCACGAGGGGGAGGGCGCAGTGTTAGGGGAACAGAAAGTGACATAAACATAACAACTCAGAGGTCCGCGCGGATTTCTCGGATCGGCGCTGGGGCCCTCCGGCGGCGCCTCCGGCGCCGCCCCTGGCGCGCTCCGCGCGCCAGGGAGGGGGGTCCAGCGCCGATCCGAGAAATCTGCGCGGACCTCCGAGTTTTCATGTTTATGCCACTTCTTGTTTCCCTGATGAGGGGGAGGGTGCAGTGGGCAGTGCGCCAGCCCAAGACGTAGTTCTGGCGAGCGGGATGAGTTGCCTTCCCTCTCCTTCCGGGCTTCCTCCCCCTTCTCGTCTTCCGCCTTCCCTTACGTCGGGCCTGTCCCTCTACAGGGGGAATATTCAAAAATAGCAAAAAAATAGTCTGGGGACTATATTCTTAGTATTTTGGGGTATTTTTTGAATATTGTTTGGCAGTTTGTATGTTCCGTCCAAAATTCCCCTGTAGGGGGACAGGCCCGACTTAAACCTTCCCCTCCCTCCTCCCCTTCCTGTGCCGCCAGTGCCAGCACCTCACGAGACATCGTGCGCAAAGAAGGTTCGCGGGGAACCGGGTCCTAGACCCTGGGGCTCCCCAGGGGCAAGTCTTTCGGCATGGGTCCTTTTGTGAGGTGGTCCTTGGGGCCCAGGATGGGCCGCGAGAGGTCTAAAACGGCGGAAAGTTCAGACTTATGTCGGGCCTGTCCCGCTACAGGAGGAATGTTCAAAAGTAGTCCAAAAATAGTCTGCGGACGATTTTGGGATATCTTTCAAATATGCTTGGTGTATGTTTTGATTGTTTTAGTTTTTCGTCGAAAATCCTCCTGTAGGGGAACAGGCCCGACCTAAGTTCAGACCTCATGTTCCGCGTTATGCGCAGGCAGAGGAGGAAAGGGCAGGCAGTTACAAGTACACTTCCCCCGTCGCCCTGGTCAAGAAGCATCCCTGGAGAGGACTGGGGAGTGGCGGTAAGTCGGGCCTGTCCTTCTACAGGAGGGATATTCAAAAGTAGTCTAAAAACAGTCTGGGGCCGATGTTTAACTATTTGTGAAGATTTGTTGTATATTTTTGGGCTATTTTTTTCATTTTTCGTCCAAAATCCCCCCGCAGGGGGACAGGCCCGACCTAACAGTAGCAGTATCGGTACCTCTTCCCCGCCCTTCCAGAATAGCGCCTCCGGAGGTCTGGGCCTACAGGGCCACCGGGGCCTGGGGACACCACCACCACCGCAGGGAGAGGCAGAGAGAGAGATCCAGAAGGAGCTGGCCACGCGCAAAGGGGGGTATCGGGGGGAGGGGGGAGGGCTTCTTAGAAGCACCCCTGCTTCTCAGAAGGCGCGGGCCTTACCTATAGTTGTAAGGCAAGCGCCTTCTAAGAAGCAGCCTCCTTCTAAGAAGCCCTCCCCCCTCCCTCCACCCCCTTGTGCGCGCCGCCAAAGGAGAAGCATCGGCTTGTCTTGATCGTTCTCTGGCCTCGGGAGGGTATCCTCGGCTGTAAACGCGTTAGTCGGGCCGGTCGAGAGGGGGGACACGACATTTGCTGCAGGCTGCTGGCTTCGACTCCACCGCCGGGCGCTTTCCTCGACACATCGGCGCCTCCGTCGCAGGGAGGTGCCGGGGGAAACCAGATGCGTGGGCTGATGACTTACCTCCCCGTACCGGCCCACACTTCCGTCCGACCCCAGTTGGGCTCGACACGTAAGAGTGATCCTTCGCCGGAGCGACCTTCGGTGCGGGCCAATCGGGGCCTCCCGATCGCCGAACGAGATGCGATAGCAGGGGGCCTGTGCGCTCGGGTTTGGCCCCTCCCCGTGCCCCCCGGAAGCCGCGCACCACGGGTCACTCTTGCCCAGGGTCGCGCAGCCGTTGAGACCCCTGGCCCTCAGGGAGCGCGTCGTCGTCGTCGTCGTCGACGTCGACGTCGTCGTCGTCGTCCTTGCCAATGCGATGCTGGGCACAGGCTCGTCGCCTGCTGCGGGAGGCCGAGGAGGCGGAGGCCGCCTGCGAGTGCGACCGGGCTGTGCAGCTGTACCGGCGGGCCTTCAGGCTCGACCCGCGGCTTGAGCGCATGTGTTAGCGGCCGCCCGTCCTCACCGCCCTCCGTTTTCTTCTGCTCGGCGGCGCGCCCATGATGGGCCTGTCTTCCACCACCACCACCACCATAAGTTGGAGGGGGGAAGGAGGTGGAGGAGGAGGAGGAGGAGGAGGAGGAGGAGGAGGACCCCCTCCGCCTCCAACTTATGGTGGTGGTGGCGGAAAACAGGCCCATCAGCCCAGGGGGGCAGTTCCGAGTTTCCCCGGCGCCCTCGTCGGTTGCCAGAGGTTTTCCAGCCTTGCGGTGCTTTCCAGCAGCTGCGCCTCACCGGGGGCGTTCGGGGGGGGCCCAGAGCGTCCCGAACGGCCGCCAGAGTCCCGGGTTATGACCCGAAGCCGTCTGCACCTTCGGAGCAGGCTCAGTTTTGTTGCATCTTCGGGGGACCTCGCCTGTCCCAAAAATTGGTGTCTTTTTAGGGGGGCCCGACGCGGGCTCGATGCGGACTCGACGCGGATTTGGCGTGGATTCGACGCGGATTCGACACGGATTCGACACGGATCCGACGCGTCCGACATGGATTCGACGCGGACAGTGCCGCGACGGGACAGACAAGGTCCCCCGAGGATGCAACATAAGCTCAGAGAGTTTCTCAGAAGGCCAGAGGCCTTCCTTCCCAGAGTTCTGAGAGAGCCCACCCCTCGGATTTCCCTCCTGGGCTTGCCGCCGATCTGCGCCTCCCCCTTGGCCGGTCGATCGCTCGCCAGCGAGTCAGCGGCTTGTACAGGCAAGAGCCTGCTAGTCGGCCAGCAAGGCAGGAGGCTTGGCGCGCCCGGCGCCACTGAGAGAAAACAGCCGAGGCGGAGACTCATTCATGACCACCGCCTGGGGGATCGATTCTCGGAGACCTCGACGGGCGGTGGATCTGGGTCCCCTAGGACCCACAGGCGATGGATATGGATAGGTCCCCGCCTCGCAGAACAGGGCTCGACGTCACTCCCTCATCATCCACCCGTGGTGCGCCAGCTACACACCGGCACCGCGCCCGAGTGGGCCAACCCTGGGCCCAGGACCAGCGCACATGCCTTCCTGGTGGCCTGGTCGCTCGCCTTCAGGCTTTCGGCACCCGCACCTTTTACCGGCGTGCAGGAGCCCAGTGGCAAAGCGGGGACAGAGAGAGACGGGGAGGGGCGGGAGGCAAAGGGGAATTGCAGCGGCCGCGCCGCCGCCCTCGGGGCGGCCGTGGCGCGCGCCCACCAAATTAGTCAGGGGCGCCCGGCCGCTCCTGCAGACGAGCGCGCAGGGCAGCGCGGCACTCGGCGTCGCGGCCGCCAGCGGGCTCCACCGGAAGCAGGAGCAGCATGGCGGCCCGCGGCGGCAACGCGGGAGCCCGGCCGCCGCACGGCCGGCTCGCGAGCCGCTGCCAGCACGGCGCCCAGCAGCCGCATTTCAGGCAAGCGACCCACGCCGGGCCCTGCACCGCCGCATGCGGTTGCCAGGCGTCGCCTGCAAACAACGCCCTCGCCGCGGCCGTCTGCCCAGCGCGGGGGTGCTCGGGGGGCGCGGCAACCGCTGGCGGCCCAGGCCGTGCCCGAGCCCGCGGCGCTGCGGCGGCGGCGGCTGCTGCCGCATCCCCCTCTCGCGGCGCCCGTCTGCGGCGGTGGCCTGGCGCCACCCAGCGGCGCCAGACTCTGGGCCCACCTGGGCTGTCGCGGCCGTGGTTGGCCGTCAGGGCTGCCAGCTCCACGGCGGCCGCCGCGCGCTGGACCGCCGCGAGCGCCTCCAGCTGCCGCGTGCGCTGCTGGAGGAAGGCCAGCGGTGTGAGCCGGGCCTTCGCACAAGCGCCAGCCAGAGTGTGCCGCGTCGTTCCCGGCCCAGTCCTCCGCCGAGATGCTCCGATCGGCAGCCTCGGCCTGGGTTGAGTGAGCTTTCGCCCATCGAACCCGCAGCAGCCCGGTGCGGCAGAGCGGCGCGATCGCCTCCCACAACTCAGCACGCTGCCGATTCATCGGGTTCGCGCCGCCGCGCAGCGCGACCACCCTTCGCGCGACGAATCGCGAGTCGGTGGCGACGTGCATTGGCGCCTCAGCCAGGCTGCACGCGTGCGTGGCAGCCCAAAGCTCCGCGCGCTGCGCCGCTCGGCGGCCGTCCACAGGGCCGTGGCTGTCGAGGCGCCCGACGGGGAGGCCTTCGAGGCGCGCGCCCCAGCCCGCCCGGGCGAGCAGCGGGTCGGCTGGGTGCAGGCAAGAACCGTCAGTCCAAGCGCGGACCCTCCCCTGCGGCAGCCCTGGCGTGGCGGGGTCTGGCAGCGGCGGCAGCTGGAGCGCCTGCTGGGCGTCACTCGACAGGGCTTCCATGTGGGAGAAACCCGCACGGAACGCTCGCTGCAGGAGTAAGACCGCGCAGTTTCTCGCATGAGCTCGACCTCGCCAAATTCTTGCATGACTGACGACGGCGACCGCCAGCGGTTGCAGCCGCGTGTGTGCGTGTGTGTGTGTGTGTGTGTGTGTGTGTGCATGCGCACTGGTCCTTCAAAGACGCAGGCGCCGACGCCTGCACCTTGCGGCGATCCGTTCTATATTTTCACATATATACACATGTGTAACAAAACACAGGAACCCCATCGCGCGCGGCGCTGTCTCGTCACATGGCGCGCGGCGCCGTTAGATCGCAGATCGCAGCGCGATGGGGCGCCGCGCAGTGCATTGCGCTATCCTGTGCCCATGCAGAAACCTATAGTGAGCTTCCTGTTGGCGGTATTGCGCTCGCACATTTGTTGGGCTCAGCGCAGGTCTATGCTATGTCATAGTGCGCATGGCGTTGCTCTGCGCTGCAATTGTAGCGCGCGGCGCTGGCACTTCTTATAATCAACTGTCGAGTTCTCCGCTCCCCGTATGTTTCCACTTGCTTTGTTGTGTTGTTTTTGTTTGCTCGTGGTCATTTCCTGCCATCGGATTACATCTCAAGGGTGAGTCCACGAATGGGGACATTTGACTGTGGCCTGTCTTTCTTGACCAAGCGTTCACAGTCACGGTCCGTCGCCCAGTGCTCCCCTCTTATTTTGAGCGATCCTGTGCATGGCCGCGTCATGTGTGCATAGGGGTGTGTGCGTAGGCCTTTTGTCTCGTCGACCCTCATGGGGCAGTAGTAAGTTTGGTTTGGGCAGTTGGGCATGGCATCGGGGTACGAATGTGTAGATTCAAATCCAGTTTGCGTATATCCTCGAGGGTTCGGACGTGTGCGTCCTGTCCCTCCTCCCCAGATTCGCGACGTTGTGATGTTTCGCATCGTGCGTCCTCTCGTCTCTCCTTCTGTTCGACGTTTGGTCAACGAAACAACAATAACATAGCTCATTCTGAATACTTCGCGTATTTGTCTCGCTACGTGTCCGCTATCGGACCAGGCTTCGTGCTCGTGCGGGGCCCTGTCTTGCCCTGCCTTAGACCCCAGGCCTCTGAATACGTCCCCCGTCCGTTTTTATCATATGTTGTGCTTTGACCTCGTTGGGGCCTTGTGGGGCGCCTGCGGACAGAAGGTCCGTCGCGTCTTTCCCACGACGCGAGGTTTGGAGGGCGTCGGGGGCGATCCGAGCACCCATGGAACACTTCCGGCGAGGCGCAGTTGTTGGACAAAAACAAAACCGGGGAAACTTTTTCGGAATCCAGCGAAGATCGTAGGTTCAAAAAAAGTTGAGGGTGGGGCCCCTGAGGGTAGGAAGGGGCCCTCGGTTCGATTTGACTTGTCCGAAGGCCCTCGTCTCATTAGAGCGCCATCCCTCAGTGACATCACCAGTGGGGTTGGTAAGGGGATAGGGGGATGCCAAGGTGGGTCATGTCTGGCCGACCCTCGCATATAAAGAGAGCACACCTGCCCCAAATGGCTGGGATGGGTAGATATTCCGCTAAGCCGGCGAAGCCAATGTAGCCATGATCGTCATACCTCCTAAACCACTTATGGAATGTCAAACCTATTGAAGCCAATCGAAGCCAGTTTAGGCGAATCGGCCACATGGGGGCCCAAAGAATATACACCACCACCACGTCGGTTCCTCCTCTCTCCTCTTTCCAGCGAGAGGGGGGGGGAGAGGGAGGTGGTGGTGGTGGTGGTGTATTTTTTCGGGCCCCCTACCACACACCACGCACCCAAGCATCCACCTGTGCTCTCTGTATCCCCTGCCCCACTGTTTGCACCGCCGGGGAAACGCCCAAAGACCGAGCAAACACTTCGACGCCACGAGGGCGCGACGCTGCGCGGCGGCCCTCGCGGCCTCGCCCCGCTTGCGCCTCTCGGGAGGCCACCGCTTCTCCGCCTCGTCGTCGTCGTTGTCGTCGTCGTCGTCGTCGTCATCGTCATCGTCGTCGTCGTCCGTCGGCGTCGGCGTCGGCGTCGTCGTCATCGTCTTCGTCGTCGTCGTCGTGGCCGTCGCCGTCGCCGTAATCGCCGTTGTCGCCGTCGCCGCCGCCGCCGCCGCCATCGTCGTCGCCGTCGCCGCCGCCGCCGCCGCTGCCGCCGTGGTCGTCGTCGTCGCAGTCGTCGTCGTCGTCTTCGTCGTCGTCGTTGGCGCCTGCGCCGTCGTCGTCGTCGTCGGCGGCGGCGGCGTCGTCGGCGGCGTCGTCGTCGTTGTCGCGGCCGTCGCCGCAATCGCTGTCGCCGCCGCCGCCTTCGCCGTTGCCGTCGCCGTCGCCGCCGCCGCCGCCGCCGCTGCCGTCACCGCCGCCGCCGTCGTCGCCATCGTCGGCGTCGTCGTCGGCGTGGTCGCCG